AAAATAAAATCTGTAGTATCTTAACTTCACATGTATTTCTAGGTTCCAGATGCTAAGTATTTTACAAAGGCAGAAAAACTACAGGTCTCAACTATGAGAACAGAAGGCATATCAACATATACATTATTTTTTTTTTAAAGGTTTATTTATTTGTGGGGGGCAGAAAGCAAGCACAGGGAGGGGCAGAGGGAGAGGGAGAGAGAAACGTCAGCAGACTCCGTGCTGAGCATGGAGCCCAACTCGGGGCTCAATCTCACAACCCTGAAATCATGACCTGACCCAAAACCAAGAGTCAGATGCTTAACCCACTGCGCCACCCAGATGCCCCAGTGTATACATTCTTATACGTACATGTTAAACAGTCACTGAAATTCACTCTTGTGAATGTGGCCCTCTCATGTCAATTGATTTAATCCTCACAACCCTATGGGTAAGTTTAATTATTACTGCCATTTTATAGATGAGACAATGGAGACAGAGAGGTTAAGTAACTAGATCTAAGTTACAATCCAAAAAACTAACAGGTCAGAATTTAAATCCAGGCTCTATCACTTGATGTATTAGTCTGCTCAGGCTGCCATAACAAAATACCACAGACTGGATGGTTTAAACAACAGAAATTAGTTTTCTCACAGTTCTAGAGGCTGTAAGTTCTAAGATCAAGGTGAGGGCAGGTTTGGCTTCTCCTGGGCCTCTGTAACTTGGCTTGCAGATGGTCACCTTCTTGTTAGGTCTTCACACGGATTTTCCTCTTTGTGAACACATCCCTGCCCATCTTTTTTTCTTAAGGAAACTAGTCATGTTAATTAGGGCCCACCCTAATGGCCCCGCTTAATTTGATGTCTTTAAAGACTTCATATCTCCAAATACACTTAATCTGGAGCCACTGGTGGTTGTTGGGATTTCAACATATGAATTCTGGCAGAACACAATTCAACCCGTAACACCTCAAAGTTACTGGATCTTCCTAGGGCCTATTTTTCAATAGTGCTACTGAGAATCCAGTTCACATAAAATGCTTAGCAATGTCTGGCACATAGTATCACCATTTTATAGACAAGGAAAACAAAACTCAGAGAGACGGTGACTTGCCCTGTTTTCATCTCTAGAGTGGAGTTCTTACACTACAGAACACTACTTTCCTGTACAAACAAATGCATCATCTAGCAGAATTTTATGTAATTTATAAATTTTCTGTTATCTCTTACTTCCTACTTTCTCACAGTGTTTTTCTTGCTTCATTATATACAAGAGAGTAAGAAGCTAAAACTATAAAAATTTCATGGGGGAAGTATACTACTTTCCTGGGACTGTGTGTGACACTTTCATTCATCCTTTCTTCTCATTCCCAAAGACAGTTGGCTATAGTCACAGTGATGAAAAGCCGCAGAAGATCAATGCCTACTTTTAACAATTGGGAAAGAAAAGTGACTCAATTGTTTTTTTAAGAAATTAAGATTATACTTTATGTTTGCCTGGCGCTCTACATCTATTACAGCCACTTAATCCTCAACACAATCTTAGATCTTGCTTTATTTAGCTCTTATAAGAAGCATGTGAATAAGGTATTATTCCCATTTTATAGCTGAGAGAACAGGAGCAGAGCAAGGTTCAATGTGTTTAAGGTCCAACTTGACAATGACTTGACAAACTTGACAATGACTGGCAGAACCAGAACTCTCACGGACATCTTCAAGTCTAAGGCCAAGGTTCTCCATTGCAGGCCACCATCTCCTTTGGCAAGTGCAATACCTAATTTTCTCATTTTTCATGCCCTGCACAAACAGAGCAGGTGCTTGGCAAATAAGTCTGATTCGGAGCAACCTGGACTAAGCTGCAAAAAATCTTTTACATCCTTTATGTGGTCCAAGTTTCCTGACAACTTTGACCACCACCAATCCCTTGGACTGATAGCTCTTATAAGGCAGCAACCAGTCCCCTTCTTTCCTAGCGTCTAGCACACTGAGAGCTCATTAAAGTTCAACAGATACCTGAGAAACGAGAGTTCAAGTAAATATTTGTTGTATAATTGAATCTTAGCACATTCTTCCTTTAGTGATGGCAATGGGTACTTTTCAGCCACAACTATAAAAAAAACATTGACAAAAAGAAACATTAAAAACCTCTCATTATCCACAACAGGGAAGTCTGTAGGGTTTTCTTTTTTTAAAGATTTATTTTAGAGACAGAGCACGCATGCGAGAAAGCACAAACAAGTGGGGGGAGGGGCAGAGGGAGATGGAGAGAAAGAATCCTCAAGCAGACACCCCACTGAGTGTGGAGCCTAAGAGGCACTCGAACCCAGAACCCTGAGATCATGACCTAAGCCAAAATCAAGAGCTGGATACTTAAACTGACAGGGCTACCCAGGCGCCACTACAGGGTTTTTCCAATCCTTCAATTCTTTTTTTTTTTTTTTTTTTTTAAGATTTTTATTTATTTATTTGACCGGGGGGGGAACAGAAGCAGAGGGAGCAGGAGAGGGAGAAGGAGGCTTCCCACTGAGCAGGGAGCCCGATGCAGGGCTCGATCCCAGGACCCTGGGATCATGACCTGAGCCAAAGGCAGATGCTTAACGACTGAGCTACCCAGGTGCTCCAATCCTACAATTCTAAGATTCCACTGCAGTCTACTCAACAGTGGTTGAACTGACCACCACCTTGAACACCCATTAAAGGCACAGTGCAACTGGAATTGCCAGTAAAGAACCATGAGTGTTCTTAGTCTGCAGTGTGCTTTCAGGAAAACAATTCTGCCTATGTGACAGGGAAGTTCATCATTCCCAAAGGGAACTGTAACGGACGATAAAGTCGATCTGAGTCAGAGTGGAACTGCTGTTCATCAAGAACCCTGTGTCATAGAAAGGAGCTATATTAAGAGAAATCATGCTAACTTTTATTTTCTCAAGAATATGCCAGTGTTTTGGATTTGTTTTAAACATCAAGTTTGTTTTGCCACAAGCAGCCCGGACCAGTTTTGACCGTGCCATGGAAATTATCTGATCACTTCTGAGCTGTTCTATACACAGGGAAGGGAGTTGGGCAGAGCTGGCCAGAGCGGTGTTCTAAACTTTGCTCTGAGCTCTCCTACAACTTCAGAGACTTATGGATGTCCAGTTTGTTCATCTCTGTTGCTTTTGTGTACCCTGTAGTGAACTGGCTATCACCTGTCTACCAATTTCACGAGCTTTTGAAACAGACTTAAAAAACAAAAAACTGAGGTCCCAGAACAAAAGCATTCAATAAAGAATTGAAAGGATAAAATATTACCAGCACTATACTTGCTGTTTGAATTCACCTTTTCAAAGCACTCTCAGATCTGAGGCAGAAAATTCACTAGAAAACTAAAGAGGTACTCTAGGTTACCTTTTCTAAATCAAGGTATCTTACAAATCTCTTTTCTGATGCCTTAATCAAGAGAAGACATTTCAGAGGGAAATAAAGAGGCATACAAATGGAATAATTCTGCAAATAGCCAAATTAAAATATTTATCCACTTACCACTATAATATTAAATATATACAACGTACAAAAGGTAACTGAACTAGATGCTGTATGGAGACAGAAAGGTGTAAGAAATGTCCACTCAGCCTCCCGTAGTGCAACTGGATCATAAGATGAAACTTTTGTTTAGAAAGGATTCAAGTTTTCTAGGACATGGAAGAACAAATTTCTTTTTCTTTATTATGACTTCTGGACTCAAGGAAAAAATTTATTTTCTTTTTTTAAAAGATTTTATTTATTTAACAGAGAGAGAGGGCAGGAACACAAGCAGGGACAGTGGCAGAGGGAGAAGCAGGCTTCCCACGGAGCAGGGAGCCTGATGTGGGACTCGATCCCAGCACCCTGGGATCATGACCTGAGCCGAAAGCAGACGCTTAATGACTGAGCCACCCAGGCACCCTGGACTCACAGAAAAATTTTAGAAAACGCTAGAGGAGAAACTCTTATCTGTTAGTTTCCACTGACAAGTGGCAGCTTTCTCAAGAGTTACAGGGCTACAAAATGGCTCTAACTTCCAAAATAACCTGATTAAATCTGACACACACATGACATGGGGGGAGAAAGAAACTCATGTGCCCTTCAATTTCAATAAGAAAAGTTGAAAAGTATTGTCAAGGAAAGCAGGAAGATCAAGATCATGTGGTTTGGAAAGAAGATCAAGAAAGACAGCAAAAATATTCCAAATAACAGCAAGTCACTTGGGAGTCCCTGAATGCCATATTAAATCACATACAGCTACGCAATGAAAAGAAAAGTTAAGGCCTATCTCACGCCTCACTTATGCTGACTGAGCTTAAGAAAGAAAATTAAGACAACCTTTTCAAGTTATTCAATCAAAGGCAAAACTGTAGACTGGCCATTTAAGGGAATAAGCTCATTAGGTGGGGTAAGACACTTGTTTAGCAATTAGTCAGTGTCTTTACCCAATTAATTTAAAACAGGAAGCCCTAGATTTCCTTAAATTTACCAGTATTAGTTTGCTAGAACTGATTGTTCCAACATATAAATTCTCTGTGTGTGTTTACTTTTCCTTCTAGATTTTATGGGCTCAACTGTTCTCAAAAATAGAACTTATCTGCTGCTTTCACTTTTAATATTCTCTTTTCCCAAGCCACAGAACTGATGATCTTCAACAAATGAAGTCAATGCTGAGAACTGACTCTCCTATCCAGGGATGGGGAAATAAGGGTTTGTACCCCCAGGCAAACAGAACACCCTCACAATAAGGTCAAGATGACATTAAGGAAATCTACAGCACATCAAACGAAATTTTGTAGTAGTTACAGTTCGAATCTAGCCGAACCACCATTTAGGACAGCCAATCATCAACAACATTGCTGTATTTGGAATTCAGACAGGAAGAATCCACAGCCTCTTCACAGAAATGGAAAATGACACTTAGCTCTACGTCCTGTGGTGTAATTTCACGTGCAGCACACAAACAATTCTTGGTTATTTTATTTTTTTTTTTTTTAAATGAAAAGTAGATCAACTTACATGGCTCTCTGGCAATGAACTGAGGTACAGTGTTGGGCAGAGGAGTACTGGGGTTTGGAGTCCCTACTAGTTTGTTCTTGGCCATCTTCGTGTTTGCCTTAGCAAACTCTAGTCGTAGTGTTTGCGGAATTTCAGGATCGAAGCGGATGCCCTTTGGAAATAAAGAACAAATGGAAGATGTTTTCATTTCCTTAGAGTCAAACCGGAATGGTGACAAAATAAACACACCAGTAAATCCTGGCCTATCAGAAAAAAAAGGTCAGCGAGAACCCTGGTTCTCACTACTTACATAGAATACATGAAAACCTGTAATACCACATGGCCAGAAAGTCAGGGGAGATTTTGTTTAATTAAAACATTTAGTTACATGTTTTTTCAATTATTTTTTCTTCCTGAACAAAAACATTAGGTTTTGAACGTTAGGTTCAAGTTTTAAATATGGACCAGCAAATTCCTAGCATAGTGAAAAACTTCAATTAATGGCTACCAATGAGAGTAAAATAATTCCTGTAAAGCTCTGTGTAATACTGGAAATTGTAGCGATCTAGGCCCTTCGTAGTGTTCTGACACTGGCCTAAAACAATGTCATTCTTCAATGCCTTAGTTTCATCACCTAGAAATAAAGGGAGAAAATTCCCCTCCCTAACTAGAGATCTTTCTTCATGGTGATACATATATTTGAGTTAGTAAAACAGGAACTAAGATTTAAGATTTCAATGTAACTGGTATCATTTAATTCTAGTTAGCTTATAAATTTATATAAAATTTTAATGTCTTGATGTGGTAAAGTCCTAGTTTTGATTACAGCTGGCCTATTAGCTACATGATTAGAAAACAGATTATACCGGCCAAAGACAGGGTAGTAATTTCAATTACCCTTGACCCTATATTGCAGTTTACCTAAAACAATACATAACAAACATCATAAAAACACAAGATTTAGGACAAGTCTATTTTGAAACCCTCCCACCATTCAAGAATACCTCCATTGGGGTACCTACGTGGCTCAGTCTTATTAAGCATCTGCCTTCAGCTCAGGTCACGATCTCAGCATCCTGAGATCTAGCCCAGAGTCCACCTCTGCCCTCAGTGGGGACTCTGCATCTCCCACTCCCTCTGCCCTTCCCCACCCACTCAGGCTTGCTCTCTCTCAAATAAATAAAATCTTAAAAAAAAAAAAAAAAAAAAAAAAAAGAACGCCTCCATTACTAAGCACAATGAATAACCTCATGGTATCTATTTTCCAATGCTATGTATTCCAATGCATAAATGTGCATCCGAAACAGGCTCAGGTCCCACGTCTATTTGTATGGTATGTTCTGGAAAGGGGGTGGAGTTCTGAAAAGGAGTATCCTAAGAATACAGGTTTTCCATTTAGTGCACATGTGGGCCGATGGGCCCCCAAATCCCCTTTCTACTTGATTAGCTTGAAGAAAAGTCAAAGCAATTCCCACCAGAAATCAGTAAGAATCTCTTGACTCCATGCACCAGGATGAACTCTGAACTTCACAGGCTCAGCTCCAAAGATGGTAAGAAGAGCCTGTGACTGGATGGTAGCAGCAATAAGAGAAATAAGGGGGAAGGAGGCAACAGAGGTCTTCAGGGAGGTACAATAAAAGCCCTGACCTACAGACATCCTGGAGTGGGTGAAATTTCTTTGTGAGCCTGATTTATCCATTCTCTGAGAAGAAACCCACTGAAGGTGGCAAACGGGTTTGGGCAGGAAAAGAAGGAATCCACTTTGTACAGCCCTAACCGACAACAAGAAGCAAAAAGGGGGTGCCAGTTATAAGAAATGTAAAAAGAAATTCTTTCCCTAACTGGTCTCAGTTTTTGTTTAACCTTAGAAAACCTCAGTATTATCTTGCCAAAGATGTACATGAGGAAAAGGAACACAGTAGTATTCTGAAGCAGAGTTTACTTCCATCCGCTTCCACTTAAGAGCATTTCACTCTATCAAAGCTAATATCACAACAGAATAAATATTTCCAAATATGGACCCGAAGAGCTGTGGTCTTTGCTGGGAGACAAATGTAGTCAGCCCCTGGCTATCATTTAAAAGTATGTTGCGGAAGCACTCGCGTATTCACACGACACCCCATGAGCTACGCACAGTAACAATCTGCCATCGATTTCAGGGTGTCCTCCCTGGCACTGAACTCCACCAACCCTCCTGTGAAGAAGAAACTTTTCTAAACCTGAGCCCACATCAACTTGATCACTGTGATTGGGGCCGCTGTAACCGGAGAAGACCATCCTGGGACCTGTCAGTGGTCCTCTGGAGCTTCTAGCCTCAGTAACAAGAAGGCAATGAGGCGGCGCATCCGAATTCTATGCCTCAGCTCTTCCACTGGTGTTCCAGGGTCAACAGAGGCTCTGCACAACATGCCTGACTTTTACACCGCCTGCACTGGTGGCTCCTGTCCTAAAACATGATGAACTGAGTCTCCCCCCACTCCCAAGCCCCTCTTCATATTCCTCCTCCCTGTGTGAGCTAAAGTAACAACACCATCGTGTTCCAAATCAGAGTTCCAGCTCCTTATTTAAAAAAAAAAAAAAAAGCAAGCTCAGAAGTTAAAATGACCTAATTTGTTTGGCAGCTTATTCAGAGGCCGGAGGCTTAGAATACAAGCCACATTCCTCTAACATCTTTAGCAGCAATACCATATTTGGTAATCAATATCCTGCCTAGCTCAGTTCCTATCCAGAGGGATCAGCCAAGCCAAAAACATTTTAAATGTTAAAGGATGATGAAGGGGGGGTAGGGGAGCTGGGCTAAGGAGAACATGGAAGTGGAAGGAAAGAAAAGAGGAAGATAGATAAGAAAACATTAAAAAACAAAACAAAACGAAAACCAACCCAACACCTCGTGCTTTTAATTAAAGCCCTAATAAGATTATTCTCTGGCCAGAGTGACTTCACATTAAACCCTGTCAAGATAAGATTACCTCTGTGCCTGTTTCAAAATCAAATTTTCCTTTTTTTTGCCTGTAATTCACCAAAACTCCTCTTATAACGAAGAGAAACCCTTCTCTTTCAACCTGTAAATGATATCTTATTTACACGATGATCAGAAAGGACAGTTTCTGGCTATCAGTATGATGTCACTTTGAGAATAAAGTTACTTAGAAGCAATCCGATCTGACTACAGGGACAGCCAACAGTCTCTCTTTAAGGTGGCCTGAAACACTGTGACCAAACCAATACAGGTTCACGATGATCTGCAAAGACTGAAATCCCTACCCAGGGCAAACTCTGGGAGGTATGAAGATAGTGTTGACAAATAATGTACCTTAATAGTCTAGTATTCTTAAGAGTCTACCAGGGCAGTTTCAAATCATATGCTTTGGTGTCATGGACTGAATGTTTATGTTCTCCCCAAATTCATATACTGAAGCCCTAACCCCAACGTGATAGTATTTGGAGAAGGGGTCTTGGGAGGTAATTAGGTTTAGATGAGGTCATGAGGGTGGGCCCCTAAAATGGGATTAGTATACCCTTAGATGAGGAGGAAGAGACACCAGAGACCGCTCTCCAAGAGCAGACACCAAGGAAAGGCCACCATGAGCAGACAAGTGAGGACTGCAAGAAAGAGGGTTCTCACCAGATACTTAATCTGATGGTAACACGATCTTGGCCTTTCTAGCCTCCAGAACGGAGAGACTTAAATGTCTGCTGTTTAAACCATCCCAATCTATGGTATTTTGTTAGGGCAGCCCAGCTAGTCTTGCTAACATGCTAACACAGTTTTCTTTCCCGGGCAACAGTTTCTAAAATACTTCACAGTACTTTTTCTGAACCTTCCGAGCCCTCATAGAGGGAATTTTCCCCTTTTCCACCAGCCCCATCTCCAACGCCCCTCTCTCCCCTCATCACAGGTGACTGAACCCACAGGAGCAGTCTTACTCAACTAGTGTATGGCCTGGAATTGTAAACACTGAAGTCCTAATAATTCAATCTTAAAAGCTACTAAGAGCAATTAGGAACTCCTAAGGAAAATTCAGACTCTGCATTTACATACTATGCTTCAAATTCAGTCAGTTACTGCATTCAGGATTCTGCTGAAGGAACTTAAAAAAAAAAAAAAAACGCTCTTTTCCCCTTTCTCTTAAATGTAAATAAAGCTTAAGAACTATTTGTGAATAAAGGTTAAAAGAGATTTTTCTGAATTGTGGGCTTAAACCTCCAAATGCAAATGTGTGTGTCCTACTGATACTGAATTAACATTCTAAGTAAGTTAGCTTAAAAATGCCATTTTATTGCTCAAAAACTCCATCAAAACCCAGAGTCCTAAAAGGATAAGGAAAAAGCTAGTAAAAGAATGAAACACAAGAAAATGGGCAAGGTAAAATTACCAAATCCTGAAAACTCAAGCCTACAGAGATCCAGAGAGTCACTGTTAAATGAATTCTAGCTCTTCCAGTGACTTTCTGAAGACAAGATGGAGAAGCTATTAAGTGAATATGCACAAAGCCTAGATTTGAAGTAGCTCTCATTTCTCTACCACTTGTGCATTCTGGCTGGTGCTGGAATGATTTATTAGCTGCAAATCATGGGTTTGGGACCCTATGAGACTGAATCATTCTGAACATAAAGATACAACATCATTCCAACTCCTTAGTGGTGTCACTGGTCTTGAACTAATGTTATCCCACATGAGTAGGGATAAAGATTAGCTAGAAGTTTATTCACTGAATAAGGGAAAGAAAAAAAGGAAAAAGGCATTCTAGAATGATTAAAATATCCTTATGGGCCTACCTTTACATGCAATGTGTGGTCCTTGATAGAACAAACCAGATGTAAAAGACCTTTTGTGGAAAAATAGAGAAAACAAAACAGAATGGGCACAGGTGATATTTGGGAATTGCCAATTTTATCAGATGTGATATTATGGTGACTCTAGGAAAATGTCCTTAGCTTTTAGTACTAAAATACAAAGACTATAACGACAAATGTCATGATACAACATCATGTATTTACTTTAAAATACTTAGAAAAAAAAAAGATGAAGCAAATGTGGCAAAATGTTAAGTTGGTAAATTCTGGTGATGGGTTAATGGATGTTCATTACTATATTCTCTACTTTTTGGTATGCTTGAAATTGCATGATAGAAAGTAAAAAAAGGGGGGGTGCACCTGGGTGGCTCAGTT